AGAGAGAGAGAGAGAGAGAGAGAGAGAGAGAGAGGGTTAATATGACTGACGACCGATTTGGCTCTTATTTCCTTATTCCACCTACCAGGTGGGTATTTCCTCTCTCTCTCTGGCCTTGCACCCCCGGCTCCCCTCCCGCCCGGTCTTCCTTTTCTCTCTCCCTCTTCTTTCAGAATTCCCTCACGCTCCTCCCACCGACGGAACGGAATACCCCAAGAAGTACGACGACAGACAGCCAGACAGACAGCCAGACAGCGGCTAGCGCAGTTTCATCAGAACTGCTTGATGTGAGCTTCTCTTCTATCCTCCTTATGTTCCCTTTTCAAAATAATAAAATTTTATCGGACAAGTAAAGTACAGTGAGGTAAGATGTATTGCGGTTCAGAGGTAATGCTATCATACAGAGACGAGATTGCCACAAAAGCGTTACCACGAGCTACCTGTAGCTTCGAGTAGAGTATGTAGGTAGGTAGGTAGGTAGGTAGGTAGGTAGGTAGATAGTAACACACTGAATTCGAGAGTCATCTCATCATAAATCGTGGCAAGGTCTAGCTGCTGTGCTGGCAATGTCGCCAGGACCTGAGGCTGCGAATCTTTCGGCTTCGATGTGATGATTGGAAACTCTTTGGATAGGATAGGTACCTAAGGTAGGTAGCAACGTTCTAACAGTCGAGAGCGGATCCCACCGCTATCGTTCGCCCGAGGCTTAGGGTGAATCCTTGCGCGAGATCGAGATGTGGTGTGGGGTACTGTGATATCGATCGCAGTAACCCGGGGGTCTCCACAATCAGACGGCATTTGGTTATGGACTGGGTAGAGAACTTCTGCTTGTCGAAGGTCAGACGTGACTGTGGTGAGGTACTCAACCAACTCACCCCAGACATGGCCGTGTAGGTGTTCCGAGGTGCTGCGTTATACCCAACAATGTTGCTGGTCCAAGTCTGCGTGGCTGAGCTTGGGAATGATCGATTGGCGATATCGTCCCCTATGACCACAGAGCGCTGGGATCAGGTACGACTGTGGCGTACGGTGAAGCCTGATGATGCAGTAGAGGACCATCATTCGAGCGGCCGTTTGAAGCAGCCCGAAGCCTGAAGATAAGAACACTGCAGGTTGCCGAGTATCCGATTTGGTAGCTTGGATTCAGTGACCGAATCATCAATGTAGTCAAAGTGATGAATGGTTCGACATGATGCTCATGTCGTCTGAAAGCCCACTCTGATACCAGGGACACCCAAGGACGAGCGCTCTCTCTGTCAGATGCCAGTGCTACATCTTAGCGAACAATCTTGCTATGATCGAACCCGTTGTATATGGGCGTAGCAGGGGGCGACCAAAACCGCACACTATCGGTCGGAGACTCGGAGCCATTGCGTTGCGCCGAGAAGTTGCTACTGCTAGACTTCCGATACTCCTTGGATCCATAGGCAGAGGATGAAGGTACCAGAGTCTTGTCGCTGCTCATCGACCACCGGTTGCTGCCCTCCAACAAGTCGTTCCACCAGTCAATCAGAACGTCAATGTTCTCGTCATCGTTATGGTAGTCATCAAAGTGCACGACATAGCGTGGCGCTCTCGAGGCGGGTCGTTCTGGCAATTTGCGCTTCATGTATCGCTCCACGGTAGCTTTGGTCTCGAGTTCTGGTGTCAACGGCCATTGCTGGTGAGAGTCTCTCCTGAGAGGATGTGGCTGATGAGAGTCTCTCCTGAGAGGCTGTGCAGAAGGGGGGCTGCGTCGGAGTGCATGTGTGGGGGCATGAGTCGGCAGAGATGCAAATCTTGAGACCGGAGCGGTTCTGGACACGGAAGCAGTTCTCGCGCCAGGGGATGGCTTGCATATTCTGGAAGATGTCGGGTCTTCTGGGCAACGCTCGTCATCTTCTCGAGGCTCGCTGTTGATGGACTCTCGTAGCTCGGAGATCCTCTTGTCGTATGCGCGTGCGATGGCATCCAGCTTGAGGGCGTCGTCCTCGCTCGACATGCGCCGTCTTGCTTTGGTGAGCAGCTCTCTCGCACTGCGATATGATGCCAGGGCGCCTCTGACATTGCCGGCTTGGTCGCGCTCCACGGCCATCTGAGCCTTCTCTAGGGCTCGGGAGAGAGCCATGTTCTTGTGGCCAATCATTCTACTCGTGCGAGCGTTTGGGACGGCAGTGTTGGGAGGGTGTGCGTGTGGTGCAGAGGAAGCCATGGGTGGGAATAGAGTTCGGAAACGCTTCTTCACGTCCTGGTTATCAATAGGGAGTTCGGCGGCAGACTTTGGCAGGTTTGACAGGCTCAGCCAAGTTGCCATGCGTTGTCTACGCACCATCATCCCCACCCCTTGTTGGCCATGCATGGGTTGATGGCTTGTGGAGCCGGGTGGATGCCCCCGTAGTTCTAAGCGATCCTGCACAATCTATTGGCAATATGTGGACGGTCGCGTATCGGCATTGCGCACAATTGCATATCGGCGACGGGGAACAGTCAAAGCGTACGAGTCGGTATGACAGTGGATGCTATTGTTGTTGGTCCTGTCTCAGTACACCGCCTTGCTCCCACTGCTGCGGCGTGTACAAGCGGGACTCTCTCCTGCACTCGTTCTGCCCTTGCTTGCTGTAATAGCTGTCATCAAGGACAATGCAGTGATCATCGGTCTGCTGATATATAGGCTGGGCGCAATATATACCATCCCTGTGCGTGGAGGTGCTCAATTATTTATGATCCCCGGTACGTCGTGTAGCTCCACGGCCCCAACAAGAGCGGTACGTGATAGTGCTCTTCGGACTTTTCAGCAGCAAATCTCAGCTCGACTTGGGGCCAAAAGGTCTTGCCCTTGCCGTAGTATGCCTCCGTGTTGAAGACCAAGCTCCAAATCAGCTGGTCGCCGTCTTTCAAGTCTGCCTTGGCCGTCTTCACCACCTCATTGATATCGGCCGATGAAGTCCACGCGGGCACACGGCCATCACTGTTGGTCGTCGCCGTCCAGTGAGCCGTCGTGATATGCTCCGGAGCGACGAGTTTCAGCTTGACATCGATGCCCGCGCCTGGCCTGCCCGTAATGGTATCGAGGACGTGGCAGGTGATGAACGGTCGTTCGGCCATGGGAGTGCTAGCGGGTGCGATATGGCTGACAATGGCGTCAATTCGTCGTGCAGCGGTGCTGTTCTGGCTGGGCATGGGATGTCGAGGCTTGAGTAGCAACAGGAGACAGCGATGGAATAGAAAGAGTCTGTTGGAAGAAGATACCTACCTGGTAGGTAGTACCTGTACTATAGAACATACCCACTAGGAGGTAGCAGATTGACCTGACGAGAGCGGGCGGCTGCGTCCGTAAAACTCATTTCCTCGAGACTCCTTGTCTCCAATTCTCCTTCTACAGTACTGGTAGGCTCAGCTCAGTAGGCACATCATTACTTCTACCATAAAACGAAGCTGAACGACTGAGCGCATCATGCCATCGTCTTCTCAACCATAAAGCATTCCTTAGTTGGGACCCCGAACATCGCCCCCCTCGGAGCATTTCACGCACAGTCTCCTTTATCAAGCTTCGTCTTGGTCTCGCGGCAACCGAAGCCCGGCGACTTGGGAGTATCGCTAACCCTATTTATCGGTGTTCCGCCTGTAAGAAAATGAGGCGCGTCAAGGTCGGCTGATAAACCTCCCATCATCGGCGACATCGACTACCTCGGGAGGCACAGTCCATCCATCATCACCTGGGGGCCAATGTTTTGCAAAAAAAAGGCTTGAATCGCCCTAGCTCGTGATGCCAAGCATACTTCGGTACCTGACTGAACCTACATTACCTACATTACTACCAGGTATGCAGGTGGTTTGAAAAGTATACAATAATCGCGCGCTTACGACTACCAGGACAGCCCGTACCATACCCAGTGTACATTACGCTATACCTAACCGAACCCCGAGAACAGTTCCCGTGAACTTGTTCTTAAGGTATCTCTGAAAATAATCGCGGGGTTCGCGGTTCCCTATCCCTGTCGTAGTGTCTGTATATGAAATCCGCTATATTCAACATCACACCTTGGTCTGAAAACTAAGATACCTAGACCTGACATTTCTGGCTGATCGGTATTCGCTTCTCGGAGAATGCCCCGATGTATAGGTAGGTATAGATAAGTATTGTCCAACAGGCAGCCTACAATAGGAGTACCCGATACCTATATCTTATCGACTCAAGCAACGACTTTGGCGTGTTTACCTCGACGGTATAAGGAATCTGCTCCGAATTAGTCTTACCGGATCCTAATCCTCTGCTTATTGCACAGAGACTTGAAGAACTCTACTAGGTAGATACTCCTACCATACCGCCAAGAAATCTCTCCGCCGTCCCTAGGCCTAGACAGACAGCCAACACACTTGAACTACCTATATCCGACCCTAAAGCCCAAGCTAGCTAAAAGAATCAAGCATTTTTGATAGCCCCGAGGCATGTAGGTAAGTAGGTAGTTTCAGCAACCGGAAATGCATTCAAAAGAGATTATACCTTAGTATACCCAAGTACAGCAAGACCCCGGAGTACTTGCCTACTACAGGTACAGTACCTATATCAAACCATTCCCAAGAAGCCGCGTACAATCGGCGAACCTAGGTACTGTACCTAGGTACGTAGTACCCATAGCCTATAAGTACCTTTTTTTTTCAAAAGCTCAAACATCCCCGAGAGGAGCGGCGTGATAGAACTATTCACGAGAGTAAGGTAAGTAAACCTGTTCTTACCTACCTAGGCGTGACTAGGTAGTATTTGAAACAAATAAAAGTACCTACCTTGTGGATTGCAACAGATATATAAGGTAGGTACATATCTTACCTCTCTACCCCTAGGGATAAACGGAGATAAGATATGCTAGGTAAGGTAGGTATACAGGCAATCTGACAAAAACCTGCCTGCGTGGTTTTTTTCCTGTCTTCCTGTAATGTACATGTTCGTAGCGATGAGAGTCTACGTATGCTGCTATCCCCCGCTCTCGCTGCAAGAACACTTTATTTAGGCCGTCCTAGTAAGAAGACCCCCTATAATCAGTGTAGAGGGACGCGAGATGGATCGATTGGGGAGTTTTGAGAGAAGGTCGTTTTTCTCACAATAGGGTCTTTGGTAAGGGGGAAGTTATTGACGTGTATACCTAACATTCTATTGTGTTTTACGAGGTGGAGAAGCCGAACAAACAACAAGGTGCAGGACAATGTTGGTGTCTAGCTAGCGGGAAGTTGGCATCCCATCGAGAGTGGAGAGGGTAGATAGCCAGGCCCGTCCTAGGTGGGAGTAATGAGGTCGAACATCGGTGCAAGAACTGCGCTACAACAAAACGGGTGAGAGAGGGGGGGTAAGAGAAACAGTTTCGGCAGATAGAGCCCTTCCTGCCCTGACCCAACGCTCTTGTTGCGACCCGGTCCGATCGACCTCAAATTTTGCACATCGTCGGGGACAGCGCGCCAATTGTACGAGCTCGATCGGTGCAGGGCTACGAGTGAGGTGCCCACTTTGACAGCAACTCTACATCTCACGACGCCGCCTCTCTACGCCTATAATGCAATTGGAGGCAGAAACCCAATCACCAAGCTCGCGAGCGGCTTCCCTGGAGCTTACGGCGCCGGTTCTTCCTCTTTGCCATTTATATAGTATCGTGGACGGCACCCTGATATCTCCAAGCTCTTTAAGCAGAATCTTGTCTTTGCTGGTGATGCTGCGTTGGATGCCGCCCGTCTATAATCCCGATGTAAGTGAAGGGATCCAGGTCTGATGTTGGCAGAGTATCTTCTCTTTATCGTGAGAGCTGTTACCCCCGGGCCTAGTAGACTGTGACCTGCCCGACTGATCCTCACATCCATATAGAGATATGTAGGAAGGCATCATTCGAAGCCTGATCGGCCTTGTAGAGGTGCTAGATAGTGTGCATCATAAGCGCGAAGTATCTATAAGCCATGGCTCTTTCAAGGTAACTTGCCGCTAGGAGCTGGGCCGCCTTCAAGAAGTTCTCGATGTCGTCTCCGTTGATAAGGATGGCGATAACCAGATTCTTGACCGCGGCTACAGACATCTTGTAAGACTGGGTGTAAGGCTGGATAAGGCGCACGTCTGGCGCGGCTGGTTCTTTCTCTATCCCCTGTTCGCTGAGCTCAACGGGGACTGCAGCAGCGCAAGCTTCTTACCGTAGAACTTAACAGCGTCGGCGAAGGGTTGCGCAGGCTGGAGGCGGACGGAGGCTCGAGAAGCGTTGTGTCTGCTGAGGAAGGTCTGCGGGATGGTCCCAAAGGGATTTGGCATCGAGCTCTTTGCGTTGTTGCAGGGAGGTGTGGATGCGGCTTTCGAAGGCTCAATCGAAGGAGTCTACGTGGTTCGTAGTAATGAAAGATGATGCTTTCGTGGTATTCCAGACCTTTCAGAACACGAAGGACGATGGATAAGAGCTTATTTCTCTCGACTTCATGGTTGTTGCGTGCTTCGAAAAAGATATCGGCTGCGTCGGGGATGAAGAAGATAGCGTTTCAGCGTGCGTATATGTCATTTCTGCTCTGCAATTCGCTCTCCGCCTCCGTGGGACGCAAACCGAGATCTTCTGAGGCTATGGCGAGGGGTAACACTTGCAATCCCTCGGCAACAGACTCTGCCGCCAGGGCCTTGCCTCCATCAGGGGTTCCTGAGAGCAGGATGATTGTGCCACGCGGTAAAGCGAGGTCCAGAGTGGGTGATGAGATCGATGTTGGTAGGTGCCTGAAAGTAACAGAAGTGGTGACAGGTGTGAAGGTCGACGTAGTTAGAAGGAAGCGGACATGCATGGGCCGCGGGCATGGACGACTCCATGTCCCTCCACTGCGATTGATGATCCGACCAGATCGACCCGCGTGCACTTCTAGCGGTTGACAGCCGGTTATATCAACGGTATTGTCTTCAGAACATACTGTCTGGTTCTGCATTGCAGCAGATACCTTGCCGTTGACCTCCTCGGCGTGCTCGAAAACAAGCAGATCGGCAATACCTCTTTTATACCAAGACCAAACGCGCGTCTGATCTGGGAAGAGAACCTGAAGAACCATTGATTCATTTATTGATTCTAGCATCTGATCGATCAGGCATAACTCTATGCCCGTTGTACTATCCTCGTGTCCCTCCCAGCTCGATACCCAGGTCGAACCCGGAATATCGACTGGAGCAGCCCCTACAGAGTGCTTGCACCGACGAGCACGATCAAGACGTACTCGAATATTTTGTCCATCATCCTCTTATCTCCCACGCTACGCACTTTCGCTATTCAGCCGGTCTTCCACGGTCGTCTTGCTTGTCTATTGCGAAGCTCTTCAATCTGCTCTTCTCTGCTCTTCTGCAACGCCCATCGTCCCAGCTCTGCGGCCATCATATCATCGTATATCAAAGATGTCGCGCTGCCAGGCCTCCAGCGCAATATGGAGCGAGAAATGATGATGAATGTCCGGTGAAAAGAGATGGAAGCGTGAGAGTGGAGTCAAACTCAATACCAAGCTTGTTGGTCTTGGACGGTCTTGGCTCGTTTTGAATATGGAACTAGTTGAACTACAAGTGTTGAAGCTCGCGTCTTCCTTTTCACATTATCAGTATATTCTATGCCCCTGTGGCAGCCATATCTCCCAAATTGCGAGATTCCCGCCTAAAAATGCCTTTAGCTACCACGATGTTGACTGATATCAACAAGCACTACCTATACAAGAATTCTTGAGAGCAGGACGCCTTCGGATGCCGTTCCATCTTTACGCGCAGCAATGGACAGCAGCACGTCTCGTCGGCGTAATAAGCACGGCATTGAAGAGAAAGGAGGAGAAGGAAAAGAAGAAAGGATTGCGCAGCCGTCTCGGCAAGATCAACCGAGTGGGCGACGTGAGCGATGCTCATGAATTTGCCGTATAATATACCCATGTGTAGGACTATGGACTCAGAAGGTTCGCCGAGGCACTATTTGCTACAATCAATACTTGTCCCAGACAGCTAGTGGAGGTGGATGACCCCGTAGAAAGCTGTGAAGCAGACCACATATCAATGCAATTGATATGACACTGCTGGTGCTATAGCTGTAGCTTACCCAATCCCCAAGGCCCTGTGCCAACCCCCCTCGGTATTTTTGTATGAAGCCCTGACGGACAGACGTAGGTGTAGGCAGAGAAACCCGCTCATTTCGATTCCCCCTACGTGCTCGCTGTAGAGATAAAGGTCCTTGACCTGCTGAGAGTATGCTGACCCCTGACGAGAACCCACTCAAGGCTCTGGCTATGTCCGGGAGATGAGGCAGTCCGAGCTCATCACCAAGTGAGTATATGCGAACGAGGCGCAGCGGAGGGGCCTGGAATTGATGGCTCGCAAGCATTCTCTTCTCATCGTTGCCAGGCAAAGGATGGTGAGTCCCCCTGCTTTCTCCGGCTAGATGTAATGTCCGTTGACTTATGGCCAGTACAAAAGCTACGCGTCGGCCAGCTATAAGCTCCTAGTTATGTGCCCCTGCGTGCAGCTGTTGTTTCGCGCCTGAGAAGGAGGAGAAGGAGGAGGAGAAAGGGGGAGGAGGAGGAGGAGGAGGAGGAGGAGGAGGAGGAGGAGGAGGAGGAGGAGGAGGAGGAGGAGGAGGAGGAGGAGGAGGAGGAGGAGGAGGAGGAGGAGGAGGAGGAGGAGGA